GGCAGCTGGAACAGCTGGCTAGGGAGCCGCTTGCATGTCTCTGGTTTTTTCTTTCCCCTTCCACCACCCCTTCCCCGAACCCATCCCTGCCGCCCGGTAACCCTCATTCTTCTCGCCCCAACCCCCGACCCACTGCGGTATTGCGTGGCCTGGGGGCTCCTGATCCCGGCAGGCAATTATTGGGGAGGGAGAAGGGTAGGGGCACCGCGATGAGAGATACTGGGTTCCTCACTGCAACCGGGTTCGAGGGGCCCTGGGGGAGTCTAAAAACGGATTACTATTTTTTGTCCAATTGCTGCAGTCGGAGGGGTGGGGGCGGGGGAGGGCGAGATTCCACACCCCCTTCCTCTTCCTTCCCGGCCGCTCCCTCCGCCGCTGGGCGCCTCTGGCCGTGCTGGGGTGAGACCCCAGTTCTCGGCTCCCCAGCTCTCTGTAGGGCCGTCGGTCTTTAGAAAAGCGATGGGGTAAACGCTACATTATTTCTAGAGATGATGGGAGGGATTTGTCACCGGAAGTGAATGAGCCTTGCTTAAAGTCGAGACCAACCGGAGGTGTGAGTGGGCAGCGGAGACAGCGCAGTCACTGGCAGAAACCCCGGGCAGCGGGCCGAGCGAGAACCCGGGACGCAGCCGGCTGCTCGCGGCGCAAGCTCGCGCGCGGCGTTCGGCCTGCTAGCTGCCAGGGTGCCGGGCTCCTGCCCTTCCAGTCCTGTTTCACCCATCTCTTCAACCCCGTTCCCAGCCACCATCGTTTTTAATTGGAGTATTTGCTCACGAAACTGTCACTTGAAATTTTAGCGATATACTTGCGTCCTGGTGCCGAGAAATAGGGAGGAAACGAGATCTATTGAATTAAATCTAAATTAAGGCCGATCTCCAATTTTTATGCCCCAATCGCTCCTTTCCTTCCCGTTTAAAACAAACCAACAAACAAAAATGACATATAAATTCCGGGTTGAATAGAGCATTTCTCCAACGAGTCAGCACAGACCACGCCACGTGGCAAATTTCTCACTGGGGTTGAGGGATGGGGTGTAAGTTTTGTACATTTGTAGGTGTTTGCGTGTAGCGGATGGAAACCGGGGTGCTGAAAAACAAGGTGTTTACACTTGTACGTAGTCTTTATTTTTCATTAGTTTTGTTTCTTGGGCAAAGTGAGGGTTTTGTTTTGCGTTTTTCATTTCACAAAATATGGGTCTGATGCTGGTGAATGAAATAATTATCTTGTCCAAATCATCTGGAGGACTGCAATGACTGTTTTATTGTGTGAAATGTTGATTTAACCAAAGAAGGTTTAGAGAAGACTTACTTTGCTAGGGGGAAAAAAATCTTGACCTGTTTCCCCTAAAGATTTTTAGTAGTTGGACCTCTCCCATTCAAATTAAGGAAGTTGGTAACCAAAAAAAGCTTATTGAACTTAGGGATTGGAGCTGGAGTGAGATTCACGTTTGCCAAAGTGAATCTATGCGTGGTTTTACGTGTTGGCTATATTCAAAGTAGAGTGGAATGTCATTAAACCCTTTCAAGAACTTCATTTCTAGACTCTTAAACAGGTTTCTGCATAGAATCTATTGCACGTTGGAAGTTTCTGAGTATTTTTAGTTGGCTAGTGCAAACTTTTAAGAGGAAGAAGCAGTAAAGGATGAAAATGGACAGGTCACCAGCTGGCCGGTGTGTGTGAGGCAGCTCCAAAGACTGATGTGAGGCTTGAGTGCGAGTGAACGGGGTCAGTGGTGCCGTTATTGGTTATCGTGAAGCCTTGGCTTGACAGTTCTTGACAGCCTCCAGCATGGCTGTGGGCCGTGGTGGGTGGCCAAGACACGGACATAAAGCTATGGTTCTGAGTTCAAAGCAGTAGAAGGCTTCGAAACTGCTGGCATTGCCAGAATCTATTTGCGTCCTCTTTCTGACATTTGCTGGCAGCCGGTTCAGCGTGCGTCCTTGCCATGGATCCCAGCCGGTGAGAGGTAAGTGACTGCTCTGATGGACGGGGAAGGGGACGCATTGCTGCAGAGCTGTGGCAAAGGCAGGCAGTCGGGTGTCCTGCATTCTGCTTTAAACTATACCTTAAAATGGCTTATAAATCAAAGTCCTGCTCTGTCACAGACATCTTGAACAATGGAAGAATTCCAAGGTGTAGGGACTTGAACATCTATGTAGCAATCATTTAGATACTTTATGACTCTTTGTTAGTTAGGTGGACGTTTTACCTTTTTGAAAATTTCCAATATCTGTAATATGGAGAGAGTATTACAGGAATGCTATAAAACCCCAAATACTTCAGTAGTTATCCACTATTGATTTTCTCCTAAAACTCTAGCCAGGGGCCCAGCAGATGGTGTAATAGTTACTTTGGGGGACTTAACATCTCAGACCTAGCCTGGGCGCATGTGCGTGCGTGCCCAAGATCCCAAGAGGAGAATTGGAGGAGAAGGGATTGCAGTGTGGCCATCCCCCCTGGAGGGTGATTTCTCGCTTTCTGCCTCTCTGTCTCTTTCTGTCTTTCCTGCGAGCCCACACGCCCTATAGCAAAAACTTCCCCCAAAACAAAACAAAACAACACAACTCTAGCCAGTTTGTGGCTACAACACCCCAGGCTGACTCATTGACAGCAGATCCAGGCATTATATTATTTTATATTTTACAGTCTGTAAGTATGTAAGTATATACCTCTAAATGACTAGGACTTCCTTTTTTTTTCTGTTTTTTAGGTATTTTTAAAAATTATTTATTTAGTTTTATTTTGTTCATTTATTTATTTTTAGTTTGACTAGAGAGAGACACGGAGAGAGAAAGAGGGAAAATGAGAAAGCAGGCCACCAGGTCTGGAACTTGAACTGTGGTCAGCCATGTGGTTGTCTCCAGCACCTCAACCACCACATCACCTGCTGGTCCCTGTTTTTTAGGTTTTAATAATAGGACACATGCACTCACCAGAGAAAGAGAGAGAGAGAGAGAGAGATCATCCCCCAGGGGGAATGGTCACGCCATAATCTCTTCTCCTCCATTTTCCTCCTGGGATTTTGGGCACACATACAGAAGCGCCCAGCATGATTTTTCAAACCATTAAGTCCAAGATTCAAGCTGTGGTTAGCCGTGTGGGAGTCCAGTACCTTATCCACCACGCCACCTGCTGGCTCTCAGTAGTTCCCTTTTAAAACATAACTGTAGTATTATTACCATACTCCAAAAAAGCATTATATTTTTTCCTTAATATCAGGTTTCTAGTCTATAGTCTCATCTCCCTGACTATCCTGTAATTTCCTTGTTTTAAAAGATATCTATTTGAGGGCCAGCTCTGTCGTACAGCAGTAATGTGCTGCTCAGGAGAAGCTGAATCCTACATGGTGACCACAGTTCGAATCCCTGGCCCTGTCTGCCTGAAATATGCCCAGCACATATGTGACTGCCTGGAATAGGATGGGCTAGAGGACTAGAGGAAGTGGGTGACCCGACCCTGTAGAGGGTGCTCCTCTTTCTCTCTCTATCTCTCACATGTGCTTAGATACCCTCTATCATAAATAAAGAAAAAAAATAAAAATTATAAAAGAGGGGGACCAGTAGGTGGCGTGGTGGTTAAGGTGCTGGACACTCCCACATGGCTGACCACGGTTCAAGTCCCAGACCTGGCAGTTTGCTTTCTCACACTCTTCTGTCTCTCTTTGGTCAAATTAAAATAAATGAATGAATAAATAAAATAAAATAAATAATTATAAAAACAAAAGTTCTTAATTTAAAAAAATTTATAAAAGAGGGCCAGCAGGTGATTCAGGTGCTGGGCTACCACATGGCTGACTCTGTGGTTTGAGTCCCAGACCCAGCAGCTGGAAAAACACATGGGAGTCTTGTGCATACACATCCAAAATCCCACAGGAGAATGGAGAATGGCCTGCCGCATGGCCATCCCCTCTGGGGCATGACTTCTTACTTTCCACTTTTCTGTCTCTCTTGGTCTCTGGCGAGCGCAGGCACCCTATGACAAAAAAAAAAAACTAAAATAAATAAATAAATATATAAAATGTAAAAAAGAGGGCTGGCTTGGTGCTCTGGTATGTAAGGCAATTGGATCCGACATGACTTACACTGTGGTTAGAGTACCAGTAGCTTGAGGAACTGCTGCAGTCCGTTCTCTTCTGTTCTCCTGCCAGGATTTTGGACACACACACACATGCACCATTTGTTTTTCCCCGTGCGTACGTGTGTGCTCAACATCGCTGAAGGAGGGAGCAGTGGAGGAGGAGGGACTGCGCTGGGACCATTCCCCACGACGGGTGCTTTCTCATTTCCCTCTTGCCCTGTCTCTGGTGAGCACACGCCCTTTGCAAAAATAAGTAAATAAGTAAAAAGGTACTATATTTGAATAAGGATCCAAACAAGTTTCACACAATGTGTCTGTTAATACGTGGGTTCCTCTTATTCTCAGTGGTTTTGTTGAAGGAAATTGATCATTTATTCAGTAGTGTTTCCATTAGACTAGATTTTGCTGGTTGCATTCCCACACAATATTTGTTAGATTTTAGATATCTGTGGTTTTTTAATAATTATTTTATTTAACTTTACTTATTTATTTTAATTTGACTAGAGAGGGAGAGGGAGAGAAAGAGAGAGAGAGAGAGACCAGGACTCGAACTGTAGTCGGCTATGTGGGAGTCTAGTGCTCTTAACCACCACGCCACCTGCCAGCCCTGATATTTGTTGTATTTATTTGATCTTTTAATATCATAAAGTGAATCTGCTG